ATATATACATATATAAAAATAAATACCCAACCAATATGGGAATGATCAGTTTAGACAAGGAGATGCAATCTTTAAGCGGAAACCACATGGTATTGATAAGCTAACCAATATTTTGTGGCTGACATTCCATTCGTGCTGATAAAGAAAATTCACTTTTGTATGTGTGCTTTTTATTCTGCTGTGTTTTAAGATGATCAGATAGAGGTTAACATTAAATGATGTCCTTAGGTATGAGCAGACCATTTATTTACCTTTGCTGACCGTTGTAAAGAGCATCAACAGGATAATGTATTCGTGTAGTAAACTCCAGCTTTTCAAAGATTCCATATGGTATAATCTAAAAAAAAGTCTTAAAGGCTCATTCTTCAGCATGTGAGAGCCCATGTATTCAACCTGCCTTCACGTAACTCCCTTGTCTTTCTCTGAAATGTCAGACAAAGTTTCATGTTCCCTAGACTATGAGCTGCAGCAAAAACCACGTGTCAGGGGCGGGGGGGAGGTTTATGTTTGGCATACTGGCAGAAAAAAGTGAAAGTCTTTGAAGTGTTTTTTTTCTTCTTTTAAAGTTACTTCGCCTACAATTGTTGCAGGTTCCATATCACTGTACATCTGTCTGTGTTTCTATGTCTGTCACTAACTGATCTTTGGTCACATGAAGATGGATTTTTTTTGTGAGTTAAATTTCAAGTTATAGGGTTTCACCTTCCCAAATTCAAAAGCACTCTGAGTTGGATGGAGGTTAATGAAAGGGGTTTCCCATCTTTTGTTTTTCTTAATCTGTTGACAAAATAGAGATGCCAGCATTACAACTATTTGAAATGTTCTACCCAGTGTTGGTCCTGCCAATGATCATTCTCCCCATTATCCCTCTTCCTAAATCCTCATTTATTCCCCCATTTCCCATTCAAAGTTCCAGTTTCCAGAGAGGGGCGAAAGGACGTGGAAGAACACAAGCTCAAAAGATAGTTTCAGCTAATTGAATTGGGATTTGAGCATGTGTATTGTTGGCTGAAACTACTGTATCTTTCGAGCTTGATTTTGTCTTATCATAGACCCCTGAGGATCCTTTGCCCTTATCCAGTGCTCCTCTTGTACAGAAGTCAACTTTTCAAGATAAAAGCGCAAGTCATGTTGTATGAAACTGAAACGTTGTGTAAATAGGAAACGGGGAAAGGAATGAGGAAGTAAGAAGAGGGAAAATGCGTGAGAAAGATTGACTGTTGGACCAACGCAAGCTAAGATAGTTTTAAAATAGTTTCACAATGATGGCATCCCAATTTAGTAACAAACTACAGCACATCATTTAGATAAATATATTTTCAAAAACATTACATCAAATGAAGATAATAATTTTTATGAAGGGATCACTCACTGTCCTTCAAAACACACAGAGAATCAACATTCCACTCTGCATTCTAAAAATTGTATTTATTGCTTTCAGAAAGCCAAATATTATGCTTTTTATGGTCATCGAACTCCATGAAAGAAACATAATCAACTGTCATTTTGTCCTACTATCACAAACTTTCTAGTTAGCTAAAGCCTGATATGTCACAGAACTTCATTGTTGTCAAGAGTATTTTAAATTAATCCCACACATACACCACCCTGCTGCTGTAAATACTCAGAGCACATGTGTCAAACTCAAGGCCCAGGGGCCAAATCAGGCCCTTGGTGGATTTAATTTCGGCCCGCAGGATAATTTCTAATTACTATTAGATCTGGCCCGCCGGTATATTGCACGCACACCATCACTCAATCCTGAGGATTTCCTCAGCTCAGAGCCTGACCCCAAACATTGATGAACTTGCACCCTAGATGAGATACCAAGTGTCTCGCTTGAATTAGCATCACAGAGAAGCACACTGAGTTTCAATGGATGTTTCTATCTGCACTTTTTTTCTTGCGACAGCAGGGCATGTTTGGAAGCTGTTGTTGGCCTGTGGAAAAATGTAATCATAAGAAATGTCTCTGAAAAGCTGCAGATAGAGCCATAATAAAATGAATGCAACAGATTATGTAATGTTGTTTTTATAGGCCATAATTTAAGCTTTGTTAGTTCCAAGTTTAATATGTGCAATAAGTTCATTTCAATACGTTTTGCAATAAACATTGAACCAGTACAGCCCTCGACTAGTACCGATTTTTATATTTTGGCCCACTGTGTATTTGAGTTTGACACCCCTGCTGCACAAAAGCATGGAATGTGAATTATTCCTACACTCAATATGGACCCATACAAATATTATGTACGTATCTTGTGCAAAAAATACAGTTAACTGCTCTTTATATGCAATTACTTTGCTTTTTCAAGAATTTAAACTATAACTAATTGTTGTAAAATATGTATGTGTAAATGTCAAATTTTGAGCAATAATACGTTACATTTACCATACATAAGAAATGTTCAATGCACAGAGGAAAGGATTATTTCGCTTTATACGGTTCTCTTTGCAATCTGGCAACTGGTAGCTACATTTTTATAGAGGTGGATGCCCTACACATGTCAGTAACACATCAAAATGAAATAAAAAGAGAAAATCCAGGCAGATGCACATGTTCCCCTTCTGCTACAAACTCCTTGGACTAACTACCTTCTTCCATCCTGATGGTCTGCATGCAGCTCACTTAGTGGCGGATATAGAAACGCAGACACATTACAGTAGGTGTCTCTGAACTCTGTTGCTGTAGTTTCCAGAGTCTCCTTCCGTTTGTCTTTGATGTAGATTCTGCAACAATTGTTGGCAAATTATTTTAAAAGAAGGTAAAGAAATTACAAAATTGGTTTGAAATGTCATCACTTTCAGGATAACTGTTGTGTGTGTCTGCAAGTGTGTCAAACCCAAACCTCCCCCCGCCCCTGACACTTGTGGTTTTTGCTGCTGCTCATATAACATGAGGGACGTGAAACTTTGTCTGACATTTCTGAGAAAGACAAGTGAGTTACATTAAAGCAGGTTGAATACATGGGCTCCCACACGCAGCAGAATGAGCCTACGAGACTTTTGACACAACATCATGGAAACTTTGAAACACTGGAGTTTACTACATGAATGCATTGTTGTGAGCTTGCTCTTTACAGCGGTCGGCAAAGGTAGATACGTGCTATTTATCTTGTCTTATCTTCCTTTAGTTAAGTGACTTAATGATAGCATTTACTGTTAACCTTTTATCTGATCATATAAAAAGAAGACAGTGCAATGTTTTAGTCACACATATGAAAGTGAAAATCCTTAATCAATAAAAGTAAACTGTCACCCACAAAATGTTGGTTAGCTTATCAGCATCTGGTGGTTTCCACCAACAGATTGTATCTGCAGGGTGCTGCTCTGTGCAGCCATAGTGAAGTGCTATCATAATAGTTTTGTCAAACATGGTTATACACATATTGTTGGGTTAGTTCTATTATAGGATGTACAAACTAAAATATAATTCCTCAGTTTTTAACTTGACTTCTCAGTTTGACAGATCAACCTTAAGGGAGGAAGAGGTTCAGAGTTTAGACAAATTGCCAAACCTCTAACCTTGTCTGCATAGTGCAATAAAAAGAGCCTCACAGTATACCTGAAATAACAGGAGACAATACATTTGGAGTATCAATATATTAGGTTAAATAAAATAAGAAAACAGCCTATGTTTTTTTTCTAGACTCAGTAATATAAATGTTAAAATGAATAAATGAGATCATTTGAAATGTGTCTCTCCTGAGGGTCAGCATGTGACGCTCCTTCCAGTCCTGAGTGCTTCAGAAGAACCGCTGAAGCTCCCGATTACAGGTGTGAATGGAGCACGAACAACACCACTGAGAGCAATGTGAAATTTGATCTTTACATTGAGTGAGTATTGTTCTTTGTTTGAGCTGCAATATTTTAAAATGGTGACAGCATCGCAACCAAAAATTGTCCAAGGTGACCTTTTGTTATTATTGTGTGAATACGTATTGATCTGGCAAATAAAAGATAGTTAATAAACACCAATCCATCCTCTCCATATTGTCTCGAAAATAAACCCCTCAAAGGCAACAGACTTCTGCAAACTTATGACATTTGTCTCACCTTTGGTCAAGCTTTGACACCGCTCTACTGAAAAAAAGAGGCAACAGTTGGGAGACGCTTAGCTTAGTGTAAATATTGGAACAGTGGGTAACAGGTAGCCTGCCTCTGTTTAAAAGTATATCAAATACAGTTCAAACAAATAATATGTATCACATGTGAATTGATGAGTCTTTGAGGGACTGGAAGGTGGATGTTGTTACCTTTAGACAAAACAAGTCTAGCTGTATTATCGTAAAACTGGAGTGCAAAACTTTTGTCTCCCCCCTCCTCACAGTCAGTACTGATCACTGTTTCGGACATCAGCTGGGATGATGGTGGAAGCTTTGGAGGAAAATCCCAGTTTCCAAGTAAAGTTTCTGGAGTGAATACTCAAGAAATAAAATAAACTCTGCGTTTAGAGAAAGTATTAAAGTAAAAAATAGTTTGATGTCAAGGGCTTCATTAAATGTATCTTCTAACTCTGAGGACATGTGGGATGTATTTATGTCGTTTTCAATTAACTAGATCTATATGTTTACCCACAGTGAAGTAAGAGTCAGGAACATTGCAAGGACCTGGTTTGAGATCAACGAGAAACCATTTCAACGACTTAAAAATCGTTCTGTCAAGATTTGGGTTGAAGCTCACATAGGAAACTCCAGATGCGCGTCCACCAAGAGGTCTGTTGTGCTCTCACACACAGGTACTGGAAGA